GAACAAGGTATGAAATGTCGCGAACATCAAAGAGTGCATCCCGATGCCCCGTGAATGATGAGCAGCGATCCCATGGAGAGCAAGAACTAGATGACCAGCTTACTCAGGAGCAGTTCGATAACGAGTTAGAAAAGGGTCTAGAAGTGATGCTTACTCAGGAGGACCTTGTCGATGATGAGGATCCAGTGGGGGGAGGCTAGGGAAGAGAAGGCGGAGAGGATGCCCAAGGCAAAGAAGGGGATGAGGATGAGGATGAGGATGACGACAACTCATCAGGGGGATATGTAAGTCCCGAGGATCCTTTCCCATGAGAACCCAGATGGAGGCCAACGGAGGACGAGTTGGACAAGGATTTTGATCCGAACGACGAGGTACGGATAAAGCCTTAGTAGTTTGTAAATTTGGCTAATGCTATGGCCATATGTTACCTCTGCTAACACTTTTGACCTGCCGTATACACAGGTCGTCCCTACTCAACCTCTGAAAAGACGACGTCGGCCTCCGGCTCATCTTGCCGGACAATACGTAGCGGGCAAAGGAGATCAGAGGAAGGAGCCACAGATACTCACAATGAGGCCTCCGCTCCACAACCTCAGGACACAACCACGACTGAGACTGCCCAGCCAAAGAGGAAATGAGGGGGGATTAGAAAGCCAAACCAATATCATGAAAAGGCATGCTATGTGATAACGGAGGCCGGGCCAGACGGGTAGATCCTTGAGCCATATACATACAGGGCGAAATTCCGTAATCACATCGGGGTTTGTAGTTATAGATAAGTTGAACCCAGCTATCCATGGCTGGAATCTTGTACCTATGAGCCAAAAGGTAGACAAAGGGAGAAGCTAAAGCAGAACTTCAGGTTTCCGGAGGGAACGCACGAGTTGGTACAAGAAAATGCTTTTAAGATAATGGGGTAGAGCTTCCGACATTGGTGGTCGGATCTGAACAAGAACTTTATCCAACAGAAGTTAACTCCTTTCCATGAGTATGGCAACATAACTCCTAGTCAATGGGAGGAGCTCGTGGCTGAGAAGACTTCGGAGGCATCATTGGCCCTCAGTGCCCGTAACAGCGAGCAGGCGAAGAAGAACCAACACTACCCTCGTCTAGGTCCCGGTGGCTACGTTGGCAAGCAAGAGGTCTTTAGGAAGATGGACGCAGAGGCCGAAGCTGCCGGGAATATGGAAGTGTCAAAGTTGAAGCCACGCCTCAAACAGTGGATATACGCGAGGAGTGTGGATTCATCTGGTAGTAGCATCAAGTTTGCTAAGCCGGAGACCGGAGAGGTAGTATCAGAGATACTAAAACTTGCTGAAGATAAGGAGAAGGGCGCTTTCAACCCTTTCAGAGAGAGGGACGAGCTTACCATTGCCTTGGGAAACCCCGAGCACATAGGACGCACCAGGGGGCTAGGAAAGAGGATGTCCTGGAAGCACGGATTCGTAGAGGAGAGGCACATGTACAAAAAACATGGTAGAGACTGAGAGTCTAATCTTGAGCGCCAAGTGAAGACTCTAGTTGAAAAGATGTTGGTGGAGAAAGGACTGTCTACGATGGAGCCACAGACACTAATGGGGCTGCCTGGAGAACTGCCGGTAGTTGACAGCCCTCCAGATGTTCCCAGCAGTCATGGTTCCAATGCAACCGGAACCCCCGTCGATCGCATATGGGCGCCAACCAGTTGCAAATTGGTGGTTCCGATGGGCAGGCAAAACGTGATCATTGAGGTGGCAACGGGTGTGGCACATCCTCCGGGCGGCACGTGGCACAATAGGGACATCCCGCAGGACTACACTCGGGTCGAGGTGCATACCGTGAAGCCCGAGTTCATGACTTGGAAGATAGAACACCCTACTCCCGAGGGGCTCGTGTTACTCAGAGACGTCATGAACCAGTTCATCCTCTGGCACAGACGGGACATTGTATTGACCGAGTCTTCACCAACTCCAACTAAAGTTCATCCTCTAGAGCGACCCGTCGAGGATGGGGAGGTATACTCACCGGCCAATGACCATGACCACCACACGCTAGAGACTTCTCCACCTCGTACCGAGCAAGGGCATGATGACATGCCACGTCCTTCACCTCGTACCGAGCATGGGCATGATGACATGCCACGTCCTTCTCCAGCTCGTACCGAGCAAAGGCATGATGAGATGCAACACCCTTCTCAACAAGCGCAACAAGTGTCTCATGAACATCAATTGCCTCGTGAACAGCTGATACATGAAGAACAAGTGGCCCCTGGAGCAGGTGATGCACAAATTGACAAGGACGTGCCCGAATGGGAAGCTCGAAACAAAATCCCAATCAAGATAAGGCCATCGTATGTGGGCATTAATGATGTCTCGTCGGTGCACAAGTGGATGGCCCATGACCAGTTCAAGCCTAAGAACCAAGTAAAAGAATTCAGAGCACCAGCTTTTGAGGAGGGCACCACTAGCAAACTGCACCACTATCAAATGATTGCACGGATAAATATGAAAAAGGCAAGAACTTCCTACCAAACCGAGTCATACAGTGCTTGCCACGTGGAATGAGAAAGTTCCACGATTGGTACTTACGTGCTCAGATAACAGAACTAGAAATCTTACAAGCATGGATCCTTGCCGACACATTTGGAGCCCTAGGTGGGCAAATTGTCGTTGAGTTTAAGGATATCCAGGCATGCTTTCACCTCGAACGAATGGAAATGAATCTAATTCGCATGTGGTGCCTATAAGTCCTTGCCCTCTTGATATGATATGAATGTAATCTTTTGATTTTGTTGTAACTAACCCGCGCCGTGATTTGTAGAATGCAAGCGGACTTTGTGAGAAAGAGGCCAGCTCTGAAACACGGGTATATAGACCCTTCACCTATAGTATCAATAAATTTTAATTACCCTAAAGAGTGGAAACTAGATTGCAAAGAACTGGAGGTGGAAGGACACTTAAGGAGAAAGAGGATATCAAGAACAAGAAAATATTGGAAGAGTCCCTCAAGGTTGCGGCATACATTGCCCTATGTTTTAAAAATCTCCAACAACACGATAATATATGGATACCATACCACTTCAAGTAAGTTCGACTGTATACTTAGCTTTGTTCAATATACTTTGTTCGATGCAAAAGAGCTTATGTGTTCCTTCTATGACTAAATTCATGCAGCGATCACTGGATTTGCATAGGTGTCTGGCTCTCACATAGCATGGCATGGGTCTTTGATTCAGCGGATTTCCCAGTCGAGACATACAAAGACTTAATAGCGATTGTCAAGACGTATACATATCGACAATCCTCATTTTAGCTACTATGTTTGTATACATACTTGTAAGGTTTAATGTGGGATACTAACAAGTTGCATTTGCTAAAACCATTGGAACAGGGCATTCAGGCACTATGTCCAGGAACATAAGGGGAGGCATCATCCAAATAGGAAGGAAAAGTTGTATGTTAAAACTCTATGTGCGGTAAGTGTCATTTACTTTGGTACTCCATATATTACGTGTCTGTCAATAGCATTACTTAACATCTCCATAAGCAAAACACACAATGCCCCAAGCAGAAGCCTGGGAGTCTACATTGTGGATACTACACATGTATTATGATGAGTACCATCGGTGGCTACAACAGAAACCCTAATTTGGTAAGTTTGAACCTCTTCGCTCGGAGTATGAAAAGTTCGCATATGTTGTGATATAGTAAACCTAAACTTGTTCTCTTGTAGTTGGAGAAAGATAAAGACACGAGAAGGAACCCATACAAGGATGACGAGCTCTTAGAGATGGTCGGCGACCTTTGCAACTTCATAATAGACCAGATTGTGTACCATAAAGGCATTTACCATCGTCTTCTTTTCGACTTAGGTAGTAATCCTCTATACCAACACTTTCGTGAGACTGATTGGCTAGCCCTAGGCCGTTGATGACAATGTAGACTTGTGGTATGGTTTGGATAAGACTTTGGAACGATTTGGACTTTGTTTTGTATGTGGACTTATGGATTTCTTAATGGACTATGTTATAATGATGGACTTCATAATGAACTATGTTATAATGATGGACTTTTATGAATTATGACTTGTGATGATGTTCTAAATAATGGTCTTGTGTTTGTGGATGTATATATGTATATTTGTGGCGGTCAGATTCAAATTTGAATTATATATATACGTGGTCAGATTTGAATTTAAATTATTTTTTTACTGAAAAATCCACTATAGGGCCAGTTCTTGATTGAACCGCCCTTACAAATACACAAAGCAGAGGCGGCTGGTGATACAACCGTCTTTACATAAGTCTACTATAGGGGCGGTTGATATTACCAGCCACCCCTACAGATAGCACTGTAGGGGCGGCTGAAAACACCAGCCGCCCCTACAGAGATAACTGCAGGGACGGTCAGAAAACCTCTCCTACAAAGACACCCTCTGTAGAAACACCCTAAGAAGAATGGCTGGTGCAGCCGCCCCCTAAAGTTAACTTCTTTAGTAGTGCTTGAATGGTGGACGAGGACATCCTGCTCGCGAACTACATCGCCGCTAGAATTCGCTCGCCCGCTCCGCGGGCCTGAAGCGCACGGGCAGGAGCTGCCGCCTCCGGTGGCTCAACTACCTGCGGCCCGACGTGCGGCGGGGCAACATCACTGCGAAGGAGCTGCTGCTGATCCTGGACCTGCACTCGCGCTGGGGCAACCGCCCAAGATCGCGCAGCACCTCCCCGGGCGCACGGACAACGAGATCAAGAACTACTGGCGCACCCGCGTGCAGAAGCACGCCAGGCACCTCCGCTGCGACGTCAAGAGCGCCAGCTTCCGCCACGTCGTGCGCCACGTCTGGATGCCTCGCCTCCGAGAGCGCGTCCAGGCCGACGCCGGATATGGCGGCATACAAGCTCCGCCGGCGGCGCCCCTGGCCGTCCAAGCTGCACCGGCGACCACCACGGCCAGCGCGCCACCCGCGTGTTATAACTACTACGGAAGCCAATACCACAGCGAGCCAGCGAGCCAGCAGGCCAGATGGCGGTGACGGCCAGCGAGCCAGCAGGCCAGATGGCGGTGACGGCCACGGCCCTGAGCCCCGACGACGGCTCCAGCATGCTGCGGCCGTCGTCGCTCATGGCGGACGACGCATCGCATTACACTGCTGCAACTTACACCTCGGCGGCCAGTGCAGCGACCCCAACCAACGACCAAAGCTGCAGGCCAACGACGACTGACGATGACAACGTGTTCACCGGGACAACCTGGTCAGAGCTTCTCGCCACCGCCAGCGCCACCGGCGGCTCTGACAACGACTCCAGCTCCATGTCCATGATCGACCTGCCGGACTTTGGGTTCGGGGATCTCGAGGGCGGCCTCTGGAGCCTGGACGACCTTTGCTTACAGCAGCTGTGCTGAGCTCACCTGCGCGCTGAGGCATACCATCACCAACCATGCATGCATACCCAGCATGTATGCATGCAGATGCAGCAAGGAGTTGTCGACAAGCAAGTCAGAAGTCACTGATTTGAGTGAGAGGGACACATGCACACAGCATACACATGTGGAATATTGTCGGAGAAAAAATATATACAAGACAAGGAGCACACTCACGGCAGCAAAGAAACTAGTATACTTCATAGCCGTGCACAAGCTGGGGGCACGGCCAGCTGTGTCTCCTCCGTTGTTGCCCAAGTCCCCGCCGTCCAGCGTCCACACCGCCACGGCCACGAACTGGGACACCAGTCTGGACACGCATTGGGGACACAGGTACCTGCTTCGTCGAGCGCCGAACGACATCCAGGTAAGATGTAGGGTGGTCATCGTCGAACTCCTCGCCGACGCCGTCGTCCGCCCACCGACGACTCTTCATGCGCCCACGAAAGAAGTCTTGGTGGAACGGAGCGGCGTTCAGTGAGAGAGAGGAGGGGCTTTGGGAGGCCGGAGGCGCCCACGATGTGCTCGGCGCTCAGCACGCTCCCCCAATCTCATCATGAGTCGCTGCGCCGGCCAGCAGAGTGGATGTCTGGCGGGGTGACCCACACCCACGCTCGGAGGTCGTGGCAGCAACGGCCTCTAGCCCCGGCGTACCAAGGGGCGGGGTTGCGCCGGATCTTGCCTCCCCGCGAGGCTGCATGGAGGGCCCACCAGCCTGGCCACGGAGTCCACGCCGGGCCCACCCGCCAGCGGCTGGAGCGGGCCGCGCTTGCTAGCAACGCCGTCCATGAAGCCCGGGCCGACACTGGAGGGAAGGCGCCCATTACTGGTCGTGCCAGCCGCGGCAACCGATGGCAGCTCCCCGGGGCCATCAGCGGTGGCTTCGGCGACAGGGACCGGTGCAGCTGGCGGCGGCGTGGTGCCTGCTTCCACGCACGCCTGGAGAGAGGAGGTGGGAAAGGAGAGGGTGGCGGATCTGGAGGAGGGAGGCGAGGAGGAGGCGGCGACATCACACAACGCTGTCGGCGACGGGGATGCAGCCACAAAAGCTGGCGGCGGAGGCGGGCGGCGGCGCCACCCGCGCAAGCCCGGGTAGGGGAGGGAGGGGAGGAGAGGGAGGCGGATCTGGGGAGAGGCGAGGTGGAGGTGGGTGGCGGCACCAGCGCCAGGGCGGTGACCGGCGCCGCCTACGGCGGCAGCGGGGAGAGGTCCAGGGGCGTCGGGCTAGGGTTGGGAGGATTTCTGACCTAGCTTATTTTGACTTGCTGCAAAGCAACGTACATGAGATATTTTTACCCAGTCCAGTGATGGATCACTATTATTTTTGGCTTCACCGGGTCTGGTTTCTTTGTGCACCATAGCAAAAGAACCTGAGTGGTTTGGAGCCGTGCCAAATGATACCTTACTTGACTGAATTTCACGCGCCCCCCACCCCACCCCCTGTTCCGGCGGCTTTCCCTTTTGAGTTTTAACTTCCATGAAATCGAAACGCTCCTAACAAATCTCGAATTGTCAAACACATACAATCTGCTGATCACTATCAGCTGATCACATTGAGCTAGCGATCCACAATGCACAAATTCTGATCACTATCTCATCTGACATCTGGATTGGAACTCTCACACTCCAAACAATTTCAACGCCCTAAGTTGACATTTGTCGATCTATCATCTCGTCACGCATGGGCACGTCACGCCGGCTAGATATCACCACCCCTGCAGCTGACAGATCGATGGATTTACTACTCTGCGAGACGTCAACGACAACAGCACAGTTATATTTGAGATCTTATCCTCTATTAGTCGATCCACGACGACGACAGATGATGGTATTGGTGAAACACGTGTGGCGAGCAGTACGTGTACGTACACACGCACTGATGGACTGCACTTTGGTAGTGGAGTGTAAAGGAGACTGGCCATGACGTGCCGCTTCGCTTCACCTTTGTGGGGTTCTATTTTAGCTATATTAGCCTTTGCCTTTCTGATGCATGATACATCATCTGTCATTCCTCTTGCAGCTTAGTCGAAGTCGTGTGCTTGTTGTTAGCCTCTTGTCAACCAGCAGAATCAATTACTAATTGTGTGTTTGATTTGAGGAATGAGGTGATTCATTATCTTCTCACTCCTTACTTTTTATATTTGGTTTGTAGAATAGAATGAGTTGATCAATCACCATATCATTCCTCATAAGCTAATAATTAGTATATGCATGAGGAATGAGTTGATTCCACCAAATTCTTTAGGATGAACTCATGATACATCACCTCATTAAACATAGGGTGACTCCACAAACCAAATATACCGTAAAACTACCGGCGACTCTGAGACGGCGTGCCACAGTAAGCACCACAAGTAGTCCACTACAGAGGCACTTACTTTGCATGCATATCTTTGTCTCAAGCAGAGCATCCTCTACGATATATCTACAGTACCCTGTACCCCAAAGTGTTTCGACTCGACCAACCATCGTTTTTGTGTAGCCGTGTAGGAGGAAAATCAAGTATATCACTGCCACGTATAGGGCTGGGTGTACAGCAACACGGCGGCGCGCGCGCATATATATATATATATATATATATATATATATATATATATATATATATATATATATATATATATATATATATATATATATATATACTACTCTGTAGCTGGCTACAAAATAACTTATTCTGTAGCCATTTTGAGTTACGATAATTACTATGTTAATTTACTCTGTAGTTTACTATTCTGCAGCTGGCTATAGAATAACTTATTCTATAGCCACCATAATTTACGATAATGTTTGTACCAATTTACGATAATATAAATATGCATTTACGATACTCGTGTTACTATAACTCATGATGATATTTACCATAATATTATAGTAAATCATTTAGTAAGGAGTTACTATAATCTGGTAAATTAGCATAGTAATTATAGTAACTTAAAGTGACCACATAATAAGTTATTCTATGGCCAGCTGCATATATGTGTAGCACACCGATCGAGCTCCTAGATATATATTGGTGGATGAACGCCTACCTAATGATCAGATTCAGTGAGCCAACTGTCCAGTCAACCGAGATTGGTTTCACTTTATCGAAACATGCATGTGTTTTAGGCTAGTTATTAATTGTAGTGTATGTGCCTTCTCTTTGGCCAATATGATTTTCTATGTTCAAATATGTTTAAGCTCCCTGTCACTACCACATAACAAATGGTTGGGATCCGAGTGAACCGACAGTGAAGAGCCACGACCCAACAGTGATATAACATTGCCTATTAGAGCCATGAACCGTCAGTGATAAGTCAATGCTGGACTGTGGCTCGACCCGGTAGCGGCATAAAGGCATCGATCATTGCTGGGTTGTGGATTGACCCGACAATGTTGGTTCTTCACCATTGGATCCAACTACCACAAACAATTGCTTTTGGTTATAAATCATGTGTTCGGACACATGCAGATCACCCCACACAAAAAACTGAGTTCCCCTACTTCTATTCCCACACAGATCCAGTAACACTACTCACTGCTTCACCAATTGTAGTCTCAATATAAATATATACTCTCTATGGGAGGAACCCTCTTTTGGGAGAAAAGTCCTCAACATACACCTTCCCTTCATAGTTAAGATGGTGCACAAAGGTACTAGAAGAAAGTTCATAAAGACAGAGCCACGTCAGTCGCTAGATCCAAGACATGCTAGGAGCATTGCTAACGTGATCTGGCGAATCAGCACACTAACTGCATCGAGATGGGTCATCGGCCCGTTAGGGCAAAACCCTAGAGGGTGCCACCCCCTCGCTCCCTGCCGGCCGCCGCCCCGGCGCCGGCGCCCCCTCCTCTTCCCCTCCCCACCCCTATTCCACCCCTACCCTTCACCAGCTGCGCGCAAATGTCGGTCATGGCGGGCCCGTCGTACCCTCACCGTTCAGGCGGGAACTGGCAGCGCCGCTGCAGTCGCCCCCTGCGAGGTGGGGCGACCCAATGGGCATATGTCTTGGGGCGCGCGGCCCTCCGTCGGGTCTTCGCTCTTGGGGGCCTCCGGGGCTCCACCACTGCTGGTGTCGGCAGCCGCCATGGCGACGACGTCCTGCTGCTCCGGTCGCTCAGATCCACTTGACGTCTTCCTAGTCCACCCTGATCTTCCTCATGTTTGCTGAAGCATTCTATTCACACCTCTTCTTTCTCCTCAAAATTAAACCATATCTTCCTCACCTGTTGCATAGAGTGAAGTAGGGTTTTACCCGAGATCCATGCTAGCACCCATTCTAGATCTGCTCTATGCACTCTAACAGCAGCCAGTAGTGCCGCTATCTCACCCACAAGCCGCCTCCATCATGGAGCCAAAATTCCACCATGGCCTTCTCTCTAGCCCGCTACACTCACGTGAGGCTCCAACTCAAACATAAACACCGTAACCCAAACCGTACTTCATCCATCCCGAAATGGTAAGCATATTTTTATCACAAAAAAGTCAAACAAAAATTAGATTTTGACTGTTAATTTCTCTTACTATATACTATGATTTTCCAAAAAAAACTTATAGACACTTGAATATAAAACCATTGGTACAAATTCCATGTTCTAAACTTCTATATAATTTGAATAAATGTTGCACTTCTTTTTTGTGAAAGAGACAACAAAATCACCCTACCTTCTTAGGTGAGGATTGGTCAAACTTTTCTTTTGTTTGAAATGTGTGAGAGAATGAGTGACATTAGTCTACCTAGCCAGCTAGACATTATTGCGGAAAGACAAACAATGCAGTGGCTTTCACTAGGCTTTTACTATATACACTCCCAACTAATCCCATCTATGCTAATGTGCATCAAGCTAGCTACTCATAGAAAGATTTGACTGATGCATATTGCATTACCAACAGCCACTGCTTCTTGAGAGCATTTCCCCGCATGTTGTCATCATTTGGAAAGGTGCCGCTTCTAACTATGTTTCGAACTGTATGGTGGTAGGCAAAGTAGACCTCTAGATTT